TACAGAAGAGATTAGGATGGAAAAGCCACTCTCTACTTGACACTTGAGTCTTGGCTTTTTGAAGATTAAAAAAAGCAAGCAACGATAAGATAGAAAGTATCATGAAACGAAGAGATAGAAAGGAAGATAAAATGATTGTTGGGGACCTCTCAATCTCTCATAGTTTTAAGTGGATTTGAATTAGGGTAAGTTAAAAGAATTAAATTAATTAATGTAAAATGCACTCACTCCATCCTATTTTGTTTGCATAGTTTGACAAATTCAACAAAAGTTGTTTTGTTTTTTTTTATCTTAAAGGTTATTACACAAAAAATAATTGTTTACATATTTAAATTTGGAAACTTTGCAAATATTTTGGAACATCTTAAAAAGAAACAACAAGCAAATAAAATAAGATGGAGGGAGTATAAAATTTTAAATTACTTGATATTGCTTTCTTTTTAATTTATATTACTAACTTAAAAAAATTTTGCACTAACGGTACATATATTATTATTGATAATTATATTACATTTAACATCAAAAATTTATTATAAAAACACTAAAATTAAACTGTAATTATCTTTTAAAATTTGTTATCACCACCCGATTGCCTCACCTTTTCATTTGTTGTAAAAGAATACATGAGTCTAATTGTAGGCAGTGATGTAGCCAGGAAATTTAGCGAGGGGTCAACTAAAATTATATTTCACAAAAATCACATAAATAAAATAAATGTAAGCAACAAGAATCCCTTACAATTGAAAAATAATTGGTTAAAATTAAATTATAATAATTCTCGCCTATTTTTCATTGGTTGAAATTTGTTTATAATAACTTAATTGTCAATATTTGCAAATACATCTCTTTCAATGTAAGTCACCAAACAATCATTCAGTAACTCATCGCCTATTCTATTATGAAGTGAATTTTTAATGATTCTCATCGCTGAAAAAGCTTTTTCCATTGTGGTTGTAGCAACTGGCAAAATTAACAACAATTTGACTAACAATTACACCAAAGGAAAAACAATTTGCTTTCTTGTAGCAGCCATTTTCTTTGCAAGATCTCCAATTTCACTCACTTCAAAAAAATTCATATCCATATGCATATCAAAGATGAAGTTTTCAAGTTGAGATTCAAGTTCAATTAAAGTGACAGGAGGAAATTCAGATAGATAAAACTTTGCAACTTCAATCAATTTGCTCATATCAAATGCAGAAACTGAGTCTTTATGATCAAAACATGTCATACATAAAAGAAAATTTATATTAACTTCGTCAAGTCGATTATTAATTAAGTTCTTGAAATTGCATCACAGAATAATATAGCTCATAATGATGAAAAATTTGTCATTTCTTCACTTCTATGCCTTGGCCTCCCTCTAGCTACATAAACATTCTCCATATTTATTACACTTATATCGTATGTACCACAAAACTCCAACACCTCACGTAATAAAGATTCCCAACCATCATCTCTAATTAATTGCAAACGATATTTTGGCACTTTAACCAAATGTATAGCATTCATTATATCTTAATCCCTCTTTTGTAAAACTTGGGATAACTCATTTGTGGTTCCCAAAATCTTTCTCATAAGATGCAATACAAAGACAAATTCAACTCGATTCAAAATATCTAAATCAATTGCTTCATCCCTTTGTGGATCATCACTCCCATTTCCTCCGATATACTCAAGAACATCAATGATAGAAGAAAATAAATGCATCAAATTAATTATCGTACCATAATGAGAACCCCATCAAGTATATCTCGGTCTCTTTAATTTCATTTCTTGGTTTAAACCTTGTCCAGTTCTTATTACTCCTTATGCAATTCCTTCAATCACTTTCTCCATTTGCTTTTCTCGAAGCATATCTCTGCACTTACAAGAACCTCCACGAGTAATAGTATTGAAAAAAGAACATACACGTGAATGCTTTTTGGCAACAGCAACAAGTGTAAGTTGGAGTTGATGGGCAAAACAATGGATGTAATAAGTACTGGAATTTTCCTTCAAAATCAAACTTTTAAGGCCATGAAATTCACCTCCCATATTACGAGCTCCATCATAGTCTTAACCTCTCAAACGAGATATACTCAAGCCATAAGTAGAGAACAAGGACTTAATATCCTTTTAAAGTGGTGTTGTAGTTGTATCACACACATGCACAGGAGCAATGAATTGTTCAATAACATATCCAAATTTATTAACATCCCAAATGACAACTCCCATTTGCTCTTTAACTGATAACACATCCAAATTTATTGACATATCGTATGACAATGAATCGTTCAATATGCAATATCTTTTTCAATACTATATTCTAAAACCAACTATTAAATTCATTAAATCAACACACAATAAATCTCTATTTTCGATCTCCATCTATCCTATGAGGAAATTTGTGATGGTGTGGTTGACATGAGTAAGTTCTACGTGCCTCATCCCTAACATTAGGTAGATAGGTCATTATGTTAAATCGCATCCCTAGATCAGAAGGAATGTTTTCTATATCAAGCTCATGATCTTTGATAATGACTTGCTTAGGTGGTGCTTGTTGAACATGTTGATTAACTGATGATGAAGATTATGCAATGGTGGATTTTTTTTTTAAAGTACTGTTCCATAACTACACAAATAAATATTATCAATAGATATACTTAAAAATACAAAAGTTCTATATTGCAAAACTAATTAATTTATTAAATGCTTGTAATTAGAATTTGAAACTGACTTTTTGATTTGTTAAGACAGATAAATAAATTATTAAGCTTTAAAAAACAAAAATTAATATTTCTAGGTTTTAGTTAGTAATAAGAGTAAATATAGTTAAAAAAAATATGACTTTATAACAATTTATGAGATTAATTTATAAATACTTATTGGAAAATTGTATCAATTAGGTTTTAGTTAGTAATAAGAGTAAATATAGTTAAAAAAAATATGACTTTATAACAATTTATGAGATTAATTTATAAATACTTATTGGAAAATTGTATCAATGAAACAATTGTATTGATTTTTTTTTCTCACTAATATATCATCATGTGAATATATATTCAAGTTGACACCAATATAATTTTTTGAAATAATTTTTTTTATTAGCGATAATAAATTTTATTAATTTTATTTACATATAATAAATTTAAAATTAACAAGAAAAAAGAAATCATCTCCAACTAATAAATAATTTCAAAAGCATAATTTTATACCTCCAACAAATAAATTAACAATGAAAAAGAAATCATCTCCAACTAATAAATAATGTCAAAGTCACAATTTTATACCTCCAACAAATAAATTAACAAGGAAAAAGAAAGACATAATTTTACAATCTCAATAATTAAATAATAAAAGTATAAAAGAAAGAAAGCTTAGAATAGAAACTTACCTTGAAGTTTTGCTTCTTGTGATTGCAAAAACTGAAAGGGCATTACGGTGTTGTGGAACAGAGAAAGGAAGAAGTTGTCTTATTTTCATTAGTCAAGAAAAAGTGTTTTTTATACCTGAAAAGGAAAAATTACAATATTGCCCATAGTTTATTAAAAAAAATTTAGGGGGGGCATATGTGGCTCCGTCACTGGTTGCAGGCTTAATGGGTGATTTCTCTATTTAGAGCATTGACAAGGAGAGAGAAAATAGTAAAAGAAAGACTTAATCAAAGGTTGAGTTAATAAGACTGATACGACAACTTTTTCGATTTTCAATGCTCCTAAACCATCCGCCTCATCTTTCCATCCATTCTCTAGCGGAAGAGTTAACAAATTCATTTTACTGTAACACAAATTAAAATTTTGATATTTTATCGTAATAAATTGAAATTTTGGAAGTCAATGTAATAGAGGCTACAGTTGAGCTACGACGAGTGAAATTAAGTCAATGTTAATCTGGTGGAATTTTGCAAGGGAATGATAGAAGGAACTTGAATTTTATCTCTAGCTTGGAAATTATGAAAAATAAAGGAAGTAATCACAAAATAACTCCAATTTGTGAATTATTTCACACCATAATATGGTTTTAAAACTATTTACAAGTTGTTTAGTTTGAAATGATTACAAATCCGTTGGGCCTGCGTTTATCAGGAGTGCTTTGAGATAGGTGAATTAATAACTGAGGCCTATTTAGTCTGAAAAGAAAGGATTGAGAATAAAAAAATTTTAGGAGGGAAAAAACAAAGATGAAAGAGATATAAAAGAAATATAAGAAAGTAGGGGTTAAAAAAAAAGGGGACAGAAGGTGACTTAAACGTACGAAGCAATTTAATTTATTTGTATATATTCGTGTCTCATTTACAATATTTATTTCCCCTATTTATAGAGATCCTGAGAGTATCTCCAAGTGAGGTGCACCTTCTAGAAAATATATACGAAAACTAAAAATATCATATATATATATATATATATATAATATAAAATATATATATATGTATGTATGCAACTTTATATTTTAATATGGATTTTAGAGCGAAATAACCCCTCTTGGCACCATTCTAGCCGCATGAATATCTTCTCAAATTCTGCCAATTCGGATCTCTAAGTTGGGCTGAACCGCCAACAATGATATATGTATGTATGCAACATTTATAATTTATGGATTTTAGAGCGAAATAACCCTCTTGGCACCATTCTAGCCGCATGATATCCTTTCTCAAATTCTGCCAATTCGGATCTCTAAGTTGGGCTGACGCCAACAATGCCCCCTGCACATAGGTTTTACTCGTTGGTTTGAACACTTAACGTGAATCGTGAGCCGGCCTAAGATTACTCAGAGACGATCATTTTTCTTCTCGAAGTAGGCCTTTTCCTTTTTCCTCGTTCTCCTTCTCTATCCCTTCCCTTTGTCTTCTTGACATAATTTTTCTTTTCCTGGTATCCTTGAATCCATTTTCTAGGGTAACAAATTCAGTTACAATTTCTTTTTTCCTTTTTAATTATAATTGTTATTTCTTCTGTAAACAAATAGGTGAGTTGATTTTCTGAAGAATAGAACTAAGAACTTTTACACAAAGTTGGGGATTCAATGTAATGAAGCCAGAGTACATTTCCTCTAGATCTATTAGTTCAAATTACAGAAATGACTCGGTACTTCTAGAGCATTCTCACAAAAAGTTCAAACTAAACCCTCAAATGTAACTCAATTATAAATTCAAACCCTTCCATTGGGCAATCTCCATTACAAAGATAAAATTCTGGATCAGTTACAACAAAAATTCTCATTTACAAACTAACCAGTTACCCCTTTTGTCCAGTAGCTGCTGCTCTCTAGAACACAAACTAAATAACAAAATAACAGTTTGCTTCCAACTCTCTTATATTAGTCAGTCACCAAATAAATCATCATCATTATCGTCATCATACGTGCTGAAGTTAGTACCTAGTTTTCCACTCAAAGCGCTCTGTTGGGCATCATCTTTAATTGGAGGATCCGGTTTAGTACCAGAATTAACAGAAGAATATGCCCACGAAGAACCCACTTTGCCAGAAAATGCTTCTCCATAAAGGTCATCATACATCCCGCTTTTTGGAGGAGTTCTGACCTTATTCAAGACTTCTTGCAGTTTATTAGTCACAGCAGCTTGGGAAGCACTGTTTTCTTTTGCCGATGACTGTTCCTTACCTTTGGGTATTACAGTAGTCTGTACAAGGGATTCATATTTTCCAACAAGACTTCCCTCTTTTACACCTATTGGACCAGGTTCTGTTTCTACATCCGCACCATCTGAAATTCCAACTACTTCAACCAGTTCTCCCCCAACTTGATCTCTAAAAGCCACTCTTGTTTTCTTCATTCTCTTAGCAGCTCTGCCAGACTGCTGGTTATCATCTCTTGTACTTGATGAGGAACCAGATTTGCCAGATTTAGACAGTAAGTCAGGGTTGCTAAGACCATAGCGATTTATAAGAGTATTGTAAGCTACAACGGCCTCTTCATCAGACGGATCAGGAGGTGGTGGTAGATTAATCTCTGAAGGTGGTGGAGGCCGCGTGAAAAGAGCTGCATCATTCTTTCTCAAGATATATGTTCGTGTTGATGCAGCAAACCGCAAAGACTGGCCCACCTCAAGCTCAACAGGAACATCTTTGGTCAATCGCTCATTTGCCACAAATGTACCATGTGCAGACCCCAAATCAATTACAAAAATGCTGCAAAAGTTTTAGAAAACACAGTTTACAAAGAAACTTTGAACTTAAGAAAGCTAACTTATGACCCAGTAATCCAGAGCAAGAAAGTTTTGCAAGAAAAATTTATAAAAATGGGTGTTTAAGTGGCAATGTCACTGCTGTTAGAGGCGAATGATGTCACTTGGGAAGCTTTTACTTGGTATTATCAAGTGTCAATTGACTCAATTCTTACTGCTCAAGAGATTAATACTCTTCCTATTTTTGAACTATCACTAATGGAGGACAGCTTGAGAAAACTTGAACTTCCAGGAGATGAGGACTAGGCTTTATAGAAGCTGAAGAATTATGGCTTGAAAATCAATATGAAGATCCGAATTTCTTTAGAAAATAAAGAATAATTAAGCAAACAAAAATGAACTACTAATAGTATCTAAAGCTTACTAATAACATCACATTAACAGTATTATAGGACTCACTCCTGTCAAGAACAAATCACACTTTCTAGGGTAGAATTGCATCAGAAAAACAAAAAGGTTAAAAGACAATCTGTTGTAATTTTATTGACCGAAAACTTGATTAAAAAAATTACCAACATGGGTATTTATAGACCCAAACTACTCCTAACCTTTACTTAATAGCACTCCAAAACCAATGTTCATCCTTCAAGGATTTGGACTGACAAAGTAAAGTAAAAGGAATACAATTACCCTAAACCAACAAGGTCTCTAATGACTTAAAACAAATAGAAATATTCCTAAATAAATAAGGGCGCAATTACAGAACTACAGAATTGCTCATTACACTTGAAGTTTTGACTAGCAACTTATTTATTAAAGTACACAAATAACTCTAACTGGACTGGAAATATGTTATAATATCTAAAATAAATCCAAATAAAATCTAGAACATAATTCTAAAATTCTTCAGCTTTTTTGAATTTTCCTGATTTCCTTGTCCTCACGGATGCCTTAATAGCGTTAATCATTATGGATGTAAATCTAAATCCTAACATGTACAAAATGGTAGCACCAACTTATAGTACATGATTGAAAAATTAATTATGTTGTTTGCCAGAATGCTAACTTGGCAAAAGAAGTACAATATAGGTCTTTGGGAAAATAAACATAACAGAATGCAGCAAGTATAAGTAAATTACAAGACCATGCAATGGAATATCACTGAAAATTTAGATAAGATCTAACCTTCCATTTTTGTGAGGAATGACGGCAGCATGCTGGCGTGAGACAGACTGATGATCAAGCACAAAATCACACGTATGGGATTGCCTCCCAAAGATGTGTCTTCTTCTATCTAGATTAATCCGATCAAGAACCTCACCGTCCTTCAAAACCTCAAGATAATAAACTCCTGACCGAGGCTCAATTGCCCAATCTGGAGGCTGCCAAGTTGACTGTCCCCCTCCAACCTGTGTTAGCTGCTGCGTCTGTCCCACCAATGGCCCTGCCTCAGGTCCCGCTGGTTTTTGAGGAACATAGGTCTGGTGTTGGTTTTGAGTTTGTGTCTGAGAATGCAAATATTGAACTGAGGAATGGGTAACTGTTTTAGGAGCTTGTTGGGTAGTGGTTTTGGGGGTGGAATTGACAGTAACTGAAAATGGTTCCGAGGATTGAGCCTTTTTAAACCGTTCAAGACCCGCTCTACCATACATTCTCTGTTCTTTATACTAAAATAAGGCTCCTCAAAAGGAATCAAGAAAAAACAATGATGTAATGCGGCATTCAAATCAAACAATTAACAGATTTAGGTATTCAATGTGCATAGTCTCAAGCAGAACATAATCCACAAGCTCAGGCAACACAGCACCCTCCAATCCAAAACCCTAACTTCAAATACAAAAACAAGCTTGGTTTAGCTTAACTTAGCTTGGCTCATCTAACCTTCATACCAAGTCAGTGACACTGAACTCACAAAATACACTTGTTAATAAAAAAGACCCAGACATTTCATTTATTTTTGAAAACCAAATCCAACCCAGAAAATAAAAAAGGAGCATCTAGTAGGGATCCAATAGAAGCAAAATCCATTATGCCATTCAAGACAAATAATTGATTCTTCCCTCTGTTTGGTTGCAGAGAAAAAAAAAGGGGGAAAACTTAAAAGCGAATTGGATGATCTAACACATGAAAGTTACAGCAATAATATCATTCATTACAAGGAAATTGAAAAACAAAACCCAAATTCGATACGATAATTGAATATCATATATATAATTGAAAGAGAAAATAAACAGTTACCTGAGGCTTTTAATCTAATTCTTATTCAAACTGAGGCTTCGTTTTGGGAAGGATAGGCCGAAAGAGCAGCGCGGAGGAGGAGCAGAAAAACTCCGAAGCCCGTAGTATTGCAGGTTTTTTAAGTGACACTATTCACCTCAACTTTTACTACATGCCACTTATATCCCTTTTCCTTTTTGTTACGATGCCAATAATGCAATTACTACGTATGTTTTCATTTTCATAATGCTATGTTTGGACGAGGGGTGAAGTAAAATAAGGGATGAGGTACAATAAGAATGTAAAATGATATCTCTTTATTTTAAGGTAATTGAATAATTTGAGATCTCTTACTCTCTATATTTATTAAAAGAGATAGAAAGGTCAATCAGACCATACTTGATTCGCATTTTGTACTCATTCTTTGAATTGATGTAAAACAAGAGTGTAAAATAATTTTATTATTATTATTATTATTAAATATGAATAGTAACTTTTCCCATTATTTCTTTTTTTCGCTCCATTTTGAGAGGAAAATTATACAAGGTAAAATAAATTTATTTTACACCCTTTTATTATTTTCACCAAACCAAACAAGTTAATTTAAAATTTTAATTCATTTTCACCCCTATTTTATATCCTTCCTTATGTTGCGTCCATCCAAACAAAGGCTAAATGCCAATTATACGTGGAAAATTCTCAAATTTAATTCAGGACTTGAATTTTTACTTCGATATCCATTTTGATTAGCAATTGATTTTTGAATTATTTTATGATATAAATTTTAAATTTTTATTGGAAATTTTACCTAAATTAAAAAAAATTAGATTTTAAATAAAAAAATGTTTAAAATGTCAAAAGGCAAAAACAAAACTGAAAATTCGATTCCATTTTCGAAACGTAAATGGAAGAAAAACCAATGTTTTCAATTTACGTTATTTTTCTAAATTAATATTTTTAATATTATAGAAGTTGAAATTTGATATATTTCATTATGTTTAATCGAATAAATTGATCATAAACTCAAATTTTGTATAATAATGGATTTCAAAAATTAATTTCGAATTAAATTATATATTACTAAGAATGTAAAGGTCAAATAAACAGTTATCCTAATTTATCCATTGATAGTTATTATTTTTATAGTATTTTTAATATAGTTTTTATTAGGATTTTTAATTTTTTTAATTACTTTAATTAGTTTTTATTTTTATCCATTGATAGTTCTTATTTTTATAGTATTATAGTATTTTTAATATAGTTTTTATTAGGATTTTTAGTATTTTTTAATTACTTTAATTAGTTTTTATTTAGTTTTATTTATGTTGTTGTGTAAACCTTCCTTGAATCATATTTCACTTGATCTTGAGAAATTTTGCAGGATTTTTATAGGAAACTAACTTATTTCCTATCTAAGCACTATAATTGGGAAGAAATACAAAGTCTAAACAGTTTACTATCTCCAAAAAATTTCTTACTCAATAAAGATTCACTTTCCTAAACGAACACGAAGATATTCCAGAGAGTTTATATAAATAGAGAGTCAGCCATAGTCAAGGGGAGCCATTCATTGTATATTTTCATCTTTTGTTCTATTGTTTTCTCTCTCTCTCTCCAAGACTTCAAATATTCAAGATTTGTATCAAGATTCAAGGAAGCCGCCCAAGCCAATCATTAACTAGTTTTTATTTCTAAACTCTTTGCTTGTTTTATTTTCAATATTCAAGTTGATTATGAGAATATTTACAAGTTTAATATGAAAAATTATTTGCAAGTTTTAATTGAGTTTTATTTAATTACTTGTCGAACTAAATTCTCATACTAGGGATTTGATGTTGCTTAAATTTCTTTTCCAATTTATAATATTAGATTTGCTTTTTTTTTTCAAAGTATAGTTTATTAATTGAACTTAATGCTTCCAGGCAGAGTTTTCCTGGAATTGATTTATTTCCATTAATCACTATCGGGAGACAGGTTTTTGATATGAAAAGATAATAAATTACATGAGAATAACAACTTGATGTGGAAGCTATATGGTTTGACTCATGAGGGGTTCTATAAGTTAAAGACCTTAGGTTATGAATTCAAAACAAATCCATAAAACTTAATGAATTTAATTCATTGCGCTATTTGGAAGATAGGTAATTAAAACCGGGTTAAAATAGCTAACAATCATTCGGGAGAGCTTTGTTAGTGATTTTAAGGATTGTTTCCGCCTTACTTTGAACAATTAAAATTGGTTAATCAAACTAATAAATAAATTAAGATAGAATTAAGTGAAATCAAAATCCCCAGTTTGCCTTTTCAATTTCTTGCATTTATTTTCGTAAAATATTCTTGCTTGATTTCTTTTTTGTTCTATTTTAACTTGTTTAATTTAGTTTCTTAACAATTTCCCTAAATCGCCGTTTAAATAATAAATAGATTAACATAATTTTATTTTGGTACTTGGTATACAATCCCTGTGGATACGATACTCTACTCATTCTATATTACTTGTTGCGATTTCGTACACTTGTGAAAATCACTGTCAGGTTTTTGGTGCCGTTGCCGGGGATTGGCGTTACCAATATCAATACCAATTAACCTATTATTAATTTAGACATTTTTTTTAAAAATTTTTTTTGCTAATTGAAATATTTGTTTATATTATTTGTAGTTTTCTTTTTTTTTTCTTTTTATTAATTTTTATTTTCATTATTATCTTGCGAAGTATTTTGAGATGTTTCATCAACAAGTAGTCCAAGTTTTATTCAACAACATTCAGAGCCATAGAGCCATTTTATGCTGCTTGGGCAAGATTTAATGAATTGTTGGAGAGATTTCCTTATCATAATTTTATAAATAAATATCTCACTTACATATTCTACAGTGGATAATGGATTTTTAGCAACCAGTATTCACCTTCTGGAAAGTAGCTATGAAGATGTACTTTAAATGTTAAATGGTATGCCAGATTTTGACTACCATTGGTACTGGGATCCTTCACTGCAGGGTTGGAATCACCAATATCCTCCAAATTTTGAGTATGAAAAAGAGAAGCAGAAGAATTTAGAGGATTTGATTGCTGCCCTTACTAAATCTTACATGGAATTTATGAATGAAACTCGCGAGAGTTTTAAGATCTAACAAGCGGTAATAAAGAATTTGGAGGTACAAGCAACGGAATTGATAACCATGGCAACTAATGGATATCAAGATGATGAGTGCAAGGTAAATTATGAGGAAATTACATTGGGAAAATTGCACCTTTAGAGAAGTAAGCCTACATAATGAAGAAATGCAACTCCTTTGAAGATGGATTAAATCTCCAGCTTTCCTCGTTTTCAAAACATGATTATTAATGACCATCAAAAGGTGAGGTAACAACTGGAGGGTATTGGAATGAGATTTTAAAAATGAACACAAGCAGCAAGCAATATTTGGGTTGATGAAGGAATAATTGAGACTATTGATTTGAGCTCAATTCATGGTTTTTTATAGATACAACCACCGGAAGCATCCTTTCTTTATAATGGATACACCTCAATCAATTGTGTTCTCCATTGATTTATTACGGTTTTTCCTCAAGTTCATCTATTCAAAGCGATGATGTTGTTTTTGATAAGACAGCATAAATTTTCCTAAATAGCCAATCATGAGGGCATTTTCAACCAAGACCCCATTTTTTTGGGGGTGTGATATTTACATAATACATACTATGGGCGAAAGCCGTTATTTGGATAAATTCTCAAAGTCAAGTCTAAAAAACTTTAAACAAACGCAATGGGAGGCAACCCGTCATTTTTCTTTCTTTTCCTTTGCTAATTTTATTTTATTTTATTATTATTTGTATTTTTCATTTTGTTTTTGTCCCATCTTTAAACCATTATTTCTTTATTTTTTGGTGTTTTACAGCTCTTGGTGTTTTACACTCATGTTGCAGGTCAAGGAATGATTAAAAAAGCTTGAAAACTGATTGAAAGTGCCAGAGTCAGGCTCTAGCACGGTCAAGGCGTGCTATCTAGCACCCCTGTGCTGTCTCCAGAGAAAATTACGCCCACAGTCAGGCTCTAGCACGCCTGGGCCTTGCTACCCAGCACCCCCGTGCTACACAGCACCCCCATGCCACACAGCACCCCCAGGCCATGCTGCATTTTTTTTTTTTTTAGGAATCGTCCTCGATTTCTATTTTTCTTTTCTATTATTTATGATTATTATTATAATTTTTTTAGTCTATAGTGTTAACTTAGAAAATTTTAAATTTTTCATTAGTTTTTTAAAACCCAAACTTAATCAGTTTTGTAGATCTAAAGAGCAAATTTTGGTTATACAGTAAAGTACACGGCCTGACTTTGTTGCGTAACACGCCCATGTCAGAATGAAGATGTCCAGTATATAAGTCAGTGTTGTACACGGTCAGGCCGTGCCTTGAAGCACAGCCGTGGAGAAACCAGTTGCTTCTTCATAATGGTTGTGTCATGTTTATTTCTTTTATTTATTTATTTTTCTTTCCTACATGTGTCATGTTGTGTGTGAAAGTAACATTCATTCTTTATTCTCCATTATTAACGCCACATGCATTCTTTGTTTTTATTTTTATTTACTTATTTACTTAATTTATTTTTATTGTTCTTTCTTTTTCTTTTATCATTATAGAAGATACGAAAATCTTTAGTTACCAAAAGTTTATTTTATCCTTTTTGGTAAGAAGAATGAAAGACGATTTTTCCTATAATCAAAAAGATTTTCGAAGGCATTTTTATTTGGAAAATATTTTTTGAATAAGATGCTCTTACTAAAAACGAAAAGATTTCTCCCTTCATTTTAAGGTAAGAGAATGATAACTTGCAAATCCAACTTTTTTTTGTTGTTATATTTGTGTTAATTTGGTGTTATTTTGTGCTTAAAAGAGTGGTTTAACTTGATTTATTGTTTTTATGTTAGGAAAAGTTGGATTTGATACGAATAAAGCAAAAAGGAGCACAATTGAAATGTTTTGGAGCAAGGACGGAGCTGCTGGAATTTTGGAACACAAATACAAGTTGTTAGGCTCTTAGCCTTGGGCAAGACTAAGCAGGAAATCAGACCAGCGGACTGATTGTGACATTAATTATTGGCTGGTCACAACTTCTTCAACTAATTCCAGCACGTTTTACAGCCACATGATGATATTAGACACAGTTTTTAGTGGG